ATTCCCTAACTCTTGTTTAATATGGACATTTGCTGTTACCTGAACCCTGCTAAGTGTGAAACTTCAGTGGCAAAAACAGCTCTGGGTGTGGGCATCACAAAGGCTGGTTTTAAAGCTTCCATCTTTTTAAAAAACAAGCCAAGTCTCTCATTCCATTGAGAGAACTAATCCACAGATTACAAATAGGGATGAAGATATTCGTTCCACTTCATGCACTAGTTTCACTGATCAGGTTTATCACAGAAGTACAAGTAATATCCGACAGTCTGGACTACCTCCACTGCAACGGTTTGGTCTAAATCATGAAACCAGATTCAAAACCATCGGAAAAATCTGATTTTGTGAATCGAAAAAAAATCAAACACAAATCGATGCACGTACACAGAAGAAGTAAGTCAACAATTCACATTCATTCATCATCCTCAACCTTGGACTTCAAGGAAACCATTGCTAGGGTTTAAAAAATGGTTTCTAGAGATACCTGGATCGGAGTTTTTGGAAGACAGAGGGATGAACGCGATTCAGACCTAGCCGCTCGAAGACTCAGCTTGGACGCGATCTCGATCGGAGATGAAAGACGCAAACTGGACTACTGGAGAGGCGATGGACGAGAGGGATCGAAAGAGGCTATGGACAAGAATGAATGTAGACACTTAATTTTAACTGGGCCAGGGAATTGAAATGACATGGGTTTGGGTATGAATTTGTAATTGGATTGGTTATTAATGAGAGGAATTTGATTTAAATCCAAATTTTAATTCTTTGGGTTGCCAAACAAGGAATTTGAGCCAAATCCGGATTTGAAATCCAAATTCAGATTCCCAAACAGGCCACTAATGATTTTAAACTTGAAACATATAAAGATTTAACCTCTATTGGATAGCTATTGGATGTTAATCCTGCTCATTTGACAAGGCTTTGAGGGTTAGCTATCTTTGCATAACCACATGCATTTTAGATACCTAATGTACACTTTTTGTACACATGATGTTTTAGCTATCTAAGAGCTTCATATAAGCCTTCATCCTTGCAGCAGGATCTACAAGAATTTAGTAAGATTCAGGCTAGACATTAATTGGCCAATTTGGAATATAAGCTATGCAAGGTTTTTCAACGGTTTTTTTCTGTAATTGTTTATTTACACGGGTCATATTTCTTGGTCATAGCTCTACACGGGATATTGACTCTAAAAAGTACTCCGTATAAATTATAACAATGAATATGGATCCATAGAACCAGCTCACCATGTTTTGTCATGAAATACCTTATCCTTGCCAAACTATGTGATGTATGAAGCCCTTTTTAGAATTCAGCACATGAGTGTACTTGCTTTACTAAACAGCATCTCTGGCTTAATTATGTGAGTATATAAATACTCCATTGGACTAACTGCTTTTACTATTGAGCTTTGTATTGAATCTCAAGGTTTTGTGGTTGTTTGGTAGCCAATTATCTTTTTATTATTTGCACATTTGCCTTTTCTCTTTTGTTTTAGGATCCTTTGTAACATCATTGTGGTACTTGGTGTTTTTGTTTTTATGGATGTACTCTTCTATTTCAATGGTTTAGCCGTTTATATTTAGCATGTAATATATCATTTTTATTTACAAGATTCTGTGTAGAGTATAGATCGGAGTATGTCCTTATTTAAATCTCTCACGAATATATTTTAATCAATTTTATGAAATAATACTAATATTGAAAGGACACATAATTTATATATCTAATAATTGTAAGCATTAGTTTTATGAATTGATTGCAATTGTACAAAGTGTGTGATATTACAAAGTTCCATTTACATGGTAAAAATAATCTAAATTTTTTGTGTATTTGCTACAATTACCATTTGTTAGGGATGAATGTAATATTACAATGTCATTTCTTATTTTGTAGATTTTTTATATTTTTAAAACATAGAATTTTTATTTTTTCATTAATATTGAAAAAAATTATTTAAAATAACGTTTGTCACATATTATAAGTCAAAATGAGACATATATTGTAAAATGGAGGAAGTATTTAGCATTATATAAGTTATGTTTATAGTACACGGTTCATATAATATTGTCAATTATATTTTATATAATTTAGTATAATGCTAGATTATATTCTTACCGTGCATCGCACGGGTTAAAATCTAGTCTCTATACAAAGGCAGCAGGATTTTTTTCCCGCCTATGTTTATGGGCCTATTTACAGGTATGGGCCAGAAATAATCAAAGAAAAATTCAATTAATGGAAATGGGCCAACTTTTATTATAAAAAAAATTAATTTTCCAATACTACTTCTATACTAAATTCTTTGAAAACACAATTTTTTAAATTAATTAATTTCATAATTATATTTTTTAACAATTCCACTTGAAAACAAATTTATTAAGTTTTTATTTAATTTATCACACAAATTGGCAAAACAAAATAAATTGAATAAAAAATTTAAATTTTACATTTCTGGTATTATTAAATTAATAAAAAGAATACAAATAATAAATAAATGCTCTGAGATTGATATATTATTAGAACTCCACAGCCAATTACATCGATAAAGATTATAATTATATTATAATAATATAAAAATAATACTCCGTATAATATTATTACGGAGTATTATTTTTATATCTGGCAACTTCCCACATTCCTCCAAAAGCAGAATTTCCGTGCAGTAACCCACATTCCAGTGCAGCAACTTCCCACCTGTGAATAACAATTTTCCACAACAGCCCACTCTCCACTTAATAACGTCCCACTCATTTCAAGGTTTTAAATAGACCACAACATCCAAATCCAGACCACTTTTCCATTCATCCTTCTTATTGTTGAGAGAACCAGCGTTGAGAGAATGAGTAATCCCAGAAACAAAGAACGAGAGGGTATGTGGAGAGACTTGAAGGCATAAATGATAGCAAGTCCATCTGACTGGGCAATTAGGGTCCCGGCTGCCCGTGTCTATCACATTCCTTCCCGAGAGAGGACCATGGATATTGTTTTTCACGACAGATTTGTAAGATGCATTCATTCAATTGTTCATGGTCTAATATGAATTCATGCAGTGGTTTTACATACGGAGTATAACATACGGAGTATTTCTTTTCAACAGGGCACACGAATGCATGCAAAATTGAACAATACAGAACTAGACTATAAAATGAAGATCTATCCACCGACGCACAAAAAAAATTGTAAAGATAATTCAAACCCTTGAAAAAAATATTGAAAAATATAAATATATACATGAAAATGAAAACAATCATGAATAAACAATTCTCGATCTCCAGATTGGATAGTAAACATCATTTTCTGAGAGAATCTGTCTATGCCGAGAATATATTACCATAGAGAAATCCAAGAAAAGTGAATAAACAGTATGTACTGAAAATAAATTCATATGTAATCGGTGTTCTTAAATCTGATAGATAAAATGAAGATTTATCCACCGACAAATAAAAAAATGTAAAAATAATACAAAGACTGGAAAAATATTGGAAAGTACTGAAAATGAAATTATATACACGACAACGAACTCAATTATGAATAAACAATTCTCGATCTCCAGATTTGGTAGTATATTTTCTGAGAGAATCCGTCTACGCAGAGAAGATATTAACATAGAAAAATCCAAAAAAAAATCAAAAAATTCATTTCAAAAAATAATTATAGGAAAAATGAAAATCAATGGAGCTGAATGCCATTGACCATTGTAATGGAAAAAACAAAACACAGTTATTAGTTAAAGTTTTGTTAGAATAGAGAGAGAGAGGGAGGGGCAAGAGATAGAGAGTGAGAGAGAACGGCGGAAATGAGAAGGCAAGAAGGAATTAGGGATGCATATAGGAGGTGGGCTGAATCTTTGGGCCGGGCTGAGAAAGAGGGGGGAGGGGCTGATTTTGTGGGCCCGTTGGTTTTTTTATACTCCGTATTTTATTTTTGAAGTGGATAAAATTAATATTAAATTTTAAATTTATTTTATTTTTATTAGATTAAAAAAATAAGAGTTGTAAAAAAATCGAAATTAGTAAATAAATATATTAAAATTTGGTTGTGTAAATATTTATATGTAACTAAAAATATGACAGAGAAATGAATATTACTTCAAGATGGGTAGAAATTAATACTACATCTGTGTTTTAGTATTTGTTTACTTTTAACTTTTTTTCATTCAATTGTTTTCAATTTTTGTTCTATAATTAAATAGCATATATATAGTATATCATTTAGATATAACAATATTTTGAAAATTTGGGATAAAATAAATAAATAAAAAACTATGAATGTTAGTGAGGAGTCTAGAACTCACCTAAGTTCTGATAGAATTTGCAAGTCAGACTCCAATGTGGATTTACTGGCAGATTTGCATTTACCCGAGTTTTTGAATAATATTCGAGCTTCTAGAGTTACAAATCACGAGCTTACTTTGAAGGTTGGCACACCAATAATGCTGCTCAGAAATATCTACCAATCCATGGGTTTGTGCAATGGAACTAGACTAATTGTGACAAGATTGGGAAATCACTTGATCGAAGGGAAATTGATGACGGGAATAAATGCCGGTCATGAAGTTGTAATCTCTAGGCTGTCATTAATAACCCCTTCATTGGTACATATGCTACATTACAACAAATTTTAGTATACATTTGAAAGTTAACTAATTGACGTATTTGTAGTTATGCATTGTTTTTATGTGTCATATAGTTTCTTTACAAAATAAATTTCTCGTCGTGCATCGCACGGGTTGGAATCTAGTATATGCAAATACAATGATGAGAGCCGAAAATGAAGAGTACTCCCGCCCAAATTTTTGGGTCAGGTAACTGTTAATGGGCTCACTGCAAATTGAGGTGGTTATGAAGCCCATTAGAAAGTAAACGGCAAAATAAAAAAAATAGACGAACGTATCAGGTAAGCTTCTCCGCCAGCGTATTAGGCAAGCTTCAGCGTCTCATTCTTCGGTCTATCATACATTCATACCCGCTTCACAAGTCACAATCTCCATATTTGTTCAGTATTAGGTGAGAAAATTATCGAGATCTCCACCGGCCATAGCGAAGGTATGTTAACGGCTGTCCGAACTCAGTGGAGGAAGAATTCGATATTGTGGCTAGGTATTTTGGCGATAGAGTCTGACGAGAAAGACGGTTGGCCTAGCAAAACCACCAGTTACATGTCTTCTACTTCATTCTCTTTTTCTTCTTATATTTGATTCTCTACTTAATGGGCTATCTAATTTTGTAGTTGAAAAAAAATTGATTTTGGCATCTAGATTGCATGCTATGTGTTTGATGAAATTCCTCAACGAAGCTCATTTTAGGTCAATTTGATCTTGCACGGCAGGTATATCAATTTGATATGCAGATCTTTTTCCCAGAATCCTCTACATACTTTGTATTATTAATGGTGGCTTCAAAACATCAGGCAGAGGCAAAAATCCTTAAGGGGCCACATGAGGACTTAGAAAGTTATCTGGAGGCATGTGATCAGTTGAGGAGTGTTGTTAAATTCTTTAGTGGTAACAAAAACTTTAAGGGTAGTATAGGAGTGATTACACATGCCACTACTTTAATCACAAAGTCAATTGACTTTGTGATTAGGAAAAGTTCATTTTCGGCTCTCATTATTGTATATATAGAGATTATCTTGGGATTTTTTTGTTTAGGAGATGTATGAAAAATGCTAGAAACCAATATCACCTACGGTAGCTAAAATGTTTTTTTATGTCAGCAATATGGCAGCTAGAACATCGTGCAATTCCATTCGCAATAACTTCAGATCAACTTCCCAGTTAATATTGTCTTTCGGAAATGCAGGCGGATTTATATCCTCCGATAGTCGGTATAAAATTTTTTGTTTTATTTTGTCAAATCTGGGCTTCTCAAAACCATAGATAAGTTTTACCTTCGCATAGTTTGAACCTCACCTTCTTATAACTAAGAATTTCAGGTGTGTGCCTTGAAGTGGTCTCTTGATGAGAGAGGAATTGCATCGGATGGCAACGAAAATCAGGTAAAACTCATGAGACTATAATTTTAATTTTATCCATTATTAATCCATTTTTTTCTTGAATTCTAAAGTTTTTCCCCTATCCATTTTTTATTTATCTGATTTCTTATTTTTTAAAAAAAAATCTCATTCAGTTTTGTTTTTAATTTCACTTGGTGGTTGTTTTTGTTGTTTTGTTTAAAATTTGTATAAATTGTTATGAATAATGATATCTCACAAACAGAGGAGGAGACATTGAGAGAGTTTGGTCTATTTCTAATATTGCCCTTCAAGGTGAGTCCAATCCCATACCTTTTTTATCTCTTTGAGATTAATCTTTTTAAGAAACAATTGATGGATACGTTTTGTGATGGCAGGTGTGAAAACTGGGAGAGCCGATGCCTCATTTTTAGAAAAATATTTTTTTTCTTACAAGGTATTAGCGTGCTTGAGTTGTGCATTGTGTTTGCAAGTACAATTGCCAACTATCACCATTTCTCCTAGAGTAATAGTGCTACTATCTTCTCATTTCAATTATGTTTATCTAATTTCAATACTCCAAATTTATATAACCTTTTTTGCTCTCTCTAAGCAAGGTGATATCCCGTTTGAAAATGGAAGGAGCCATTGCTTTGTCTTCTTCAAAGGTTATGGGTCTGATGCCCTATGTTTAAAAATCTCTTCCGCGAGTTGCCTGACTTGCCTGTCTATCGTTGTGGGTATTTCAGCACCAATCTTGGCTTGATATCTATTCACATTGATCATATCAATTTTTTATGATAAAGTTTATGCACTTTTTTTTTTAATATAACAGAGGCAATTCATGTCTCTCTTTTTTTCAAGTGATTGTCACTGCAGTCTGCATACTAAACAAAGAGGGGTGATTTTTTAAGAAGGCTAATGTTTGGCAACTTAGTTTGTGGTTTGTTTTCTTTATGTTGAAGGCATATTTTCAAGTGTCGTTCCAACTACTATCCATTATTAGTAAAATTTTATGATTTATAGGATTTTATTCTATTATGCCATCAATGCTTTTATGACTTTGTTTTAGCTTAAACCATATTCTACACTCTATGCTTTTTGATAAAAAAAATTTTGAGATATAAGCTAATCTTTAGAATATCTCTATAAATCTATCTAAAGTACATACTTGGTCCGTCCCTGAGTGTTTGTCCACTTTTGACTTTTGGAACTATTCATTTAAGCACTTTGACTCATCAAATTCTCTCAATGTGTAAGCCTAAAAATAGTCATGTGTGATCTTGTTTGATTCGTCTTAACATATAGATTATTAATATATATTTTTTATAATTTTTTAATATACAAATTACAAGATAAAATGGATTAAAAAAGTGCATTGGATGGTGTGCAAAAATGAAAATGGACAAATACTCAGGGACGGAGGGAGTATGTTATTGAATATTTTAAGGTTTGGACAGAGTTCTCCCAATAAATGTGTTAGTTTTTGTTTTTTTTTTTGAAATCTATTTGGTAAATGCTATTTATTTTTATTGCAATTGCTCAATCATTGATAAGAAAAAACTATTGAAAAGCTTCAATTACATCAACTCAAGATTGAGATCTTCTGGATATAGCTGTAGAATAGGAAATGTTATTGAAAATCAGTATATTTTGGTTTCAATGGTTAATTGTTTTATCTAGAAGTAACTATTGTTGAAGAATAGGGGAAAGCATTTATCCACTTCATTCTAGAAAACTATTGGTGTCCATAACATTAATTTCTCATTGATTGATTTGCTCTGATTTTGCCTAACGTTCAGTGCAAGTTTTATTAATAAGAGCAATTGTTTGTAGCTATTTTTTGAAAATCACTTTTTTTTGTTAATTGTCCATAGAATTTATAATATCTAAATTACCGTTTGCTAACAAACTCTAGGAACATTTATTTATTGTGGCACGATTCCATTAAGCACTAATGGGCTACGAATTGTACTTGGTGTTCTCCTGAAGTCATTGTCACCTGCACCTGAAACAATCGTTCACTTCCCATCCAGGTGCAAGGGGTATAACCCTTTAATTTCTCTATTTTCTTACCTTCTTCTTATTTCAAATTTAATTGTTTATTTTCAATAATTCATTAGAATTTCTATGAGGTTTAGTTTGTTGGGGCAATGGTCATTATACCAAAAGAGCCAGGTTGATTGTTTCGTTCTAGATGTTGTTTGGCAAGAATTTGAGAATTGCAATTGTCTTCAATTAGGCCACCACTTCACTGCAGATCGCAGAGCAAATTGTGAATCTTTGTTCCATATTACATGAGTATTGCTTCTACCTCCTTTGGTGCAACTTTCATTTTCTAATTATTCCAAGCTATGGTGGTGCTGCATCACTCACATGGATTGGGCTCTTACTTTGGAAGCTAGCAATCGGCATTCTTCAAGCGTCTTTGTTAATACACTGTTGAAATTTTTTCTTCTTAATGATTTTTTTTTTTAAAAATTTAGTGATGTGGGTTAAAGAAATCATACAAAAGGTTGGTGGGGTTTTTGTTCAGTTGCTAGGATTTGATAAAGCAAACTATTGGAGTTGGAATGGCGTCAATTGAGATTCTTCACAAATTTGGGTGTAGTCGCATAGTCTTTTTTAGAATATTACTCCGTAATTTTTATCCTTGCTAATATTGCTTGGGTAATACTTTGTATTTCTCCTTTTCTTTTATAAGCTTATTAGATTGTATGGCTTATAGCTCTCTTGCTTAATTTTTAAAATGTTTGAGAATGACAACATTTTTTTAAAAAGTAATACTCTTTTATTCTTTTATTGCTTCATGTTTGATTTTTTTGTCAAATATAAATTTGATAAATCAAATTGTATATTTATATAAATTTAATTACATAGAATTGATATAACCATTAAATATTTTTTTTCACAATTTATGGGTAAAGATTGTCATAGTTTTTTAAAAAGTAAAAAGAGAAGTTTTGTTGGGATGGAGATAGTATATATGATGGTCTCTTACGGAATATATATTATGAGTATTTTAAATATTTAATGATATTTCATGTTTATATTTAATTCTAAATTCTAATGTTTATTCATTCATTAACCTATTTGAAAAAAATGTATTTAAGACACACATTGATGACTTAAATGTACTCTATGGTTATTTTACTTTTCTTTTACTACTGGGATATCTTTTTAAGGTTGAGAATTCTTTTACAACATTTGACTAATTTTATGTTTCATACAAAGCACTTGCAAAGTATTTAGATATTTAATCTGTATAATGTTTGATTTTAGAAGTACTACAATTAAGAACAGATTCTCAAAAGAGTTTTCACTAATTGAATAATTTTCTAAATTAGTATGCAATAAGTTTTAATTACGTACATGATCTTTTATAATTGTATTCAATATATATTCTTACATTCTCTGGAATTCTTGAACAACATTCGAGCATTTGGTGTCCCAAATCATGAACTGAAGTTGAAGGTTGGAACACTTATTATGTTGTTGAGAAATATTGATCAATCATCAGGTCTGTGCAATGGAACAAAATTGATAGTAACTTGACTTGGCAATCATCTTATTCAAGGCACAGTGATGACATAAAAAAATGTCGGTCAAGAAGTTGTTATCCCACAGTTGTTCACACCATCAAATGCAAGGATTCTTTTTAGATTTCAAAGGAAACAATTTGCAATCATGAATTCATACACAATGACAATTTAAAAAAATCAAGACCAATCTTTATCGCATGTTGGATTGCTACTCAAGAAATTGGTATTCAGTCATGGTCAATTCTATGTTACAATTTCATGTGTTACAAGTCGCGAGGGGTTAAAGATATTGATTTGCAATAAAAACCTTTCGTCAACAAACCAAACTATGAATGTACTCCGTAGTTTATAAAGAAGTGTTCCAAAACTTATAACACTACATATCGACTACAGTCCTTTTGTACTAAACATTATTCTGGGGTAATTTTAATAAAATTTGTAATCTTTTGATTTGGAGTATCATTTTATGTTATTTTAAACCAAGACTAAATATAAGTAATTTTACAGCCCGTGCATCGCACGGGTACGAGTCTAGTTAAAATAAAAAGAGGAAGGGAGTGGGGGTGGGGTGAGGAAGGCTTTAAAGAAAGAAGAAGAAAAAAAAAGGCATGTCTAAATTCAACCGACTAAAATTGATTCTTTAAATTCAAACAAGGTGCCAATAAACAGACCCTAAATCTATACGAAAACCCATCTGAACTATTGTGAACAAAAAAAAACGAAACAAATGCACAATTGACTCAGAGTCAATGCCATAGTAATGAGGCCATGTCCATGGAAAGATGCAAAAGAAATGGAGAAGAAGGATTACAAGAACGTATTTATATAAAGTTACTATCACTACTTCTTAGTACTGTTCTTGGCCGTGCCCTTGTTCTCCTTACTCCCACCCGCTGCCTCGGCTTGTGCCGCTTTCTTTGCTGCCTTTTCTTGAAGAGCTTTTCCATCCCTGCAATTGGATGGGGACCAAAAATATATAAGCAACTACTTAACAAAAGCCTACAGGCCTCCGCTTGATTTTCTTTGGTGCACCGGAAAGAGTAACAGTCTGTTTTAGTTCAAGGAATTCAGAAGGGAAAAGAATGGAAAATGACAAGGAAAAAACAGAACAGTTTTTGTATTTCGTCGGATAGGAAAAGAATGGAAAAGTGGAAGGAAAAGAAAGGATTAAAAAAACGAAGTGTAAAAATGGAAAACGACTTTCCTAAAGTAATCTATGCCCCCACCCAAACTCTAAATTTGTGGTTAGGCAGCTATGAGGTCAAAATAGAAGACAACTTTAACACTGCTAGTTGAACTCAAGGTCTCTTCTTGTTCCATCGGATTCTATGGTGCTAGAATGCTTGATACAGATTTTCTAATAACTCTCTAAAAATGAAGGAAAAACAAGAATTTTATGTGGCAAAATTTAAATTTTCTAAAAACTCTCTAAAAAACAAAAAATGCATGAGAATTGGGTTGCACCCAAACATTGAAGGAAAGAACAAAAACATCAAGTCCCCGTCATCGCAACCTTCAGAGGAAAAGGTGAAACTCTACACGAAAAGTCTCAGGCTCACAAAGAAGGCAGATATACTTTAGTAGTTATAAGGAGTGGGGGCAACTACATACCCCAAACAACATTTAAGTGGAGTAGAAGTGTAGAACGTGTAGTCAATTAACAAAAATAACCAAACACTTTCCCCTCAAAAAAAACTGCTACCCATTAAAAAGCCCATGTGAGGGAACAAAGATTTCTAAATTCTATTACATGACTCGCGTACTATTTATTAATTTGATGCTGCAATACCATAATGAAGATAAAACTGAGCTCTCAATTTCATGGCCTATTTTGAGTGGTTATCTAGCTTGTTTTTAGAGAGAACGACATACTTCTTGTTTTTAGAGTGAGGATAAAACTAAGTTCTCAATTTCAAGGTCTATTTATGCCCACCTAAACTCTAAATTTGTGGTTAGGCAGCTATGAAGTTCAAAAAAAGTCAACTTTAACACTGCTAGCTGAACTCAAGGTCTCATCTTGTTCCATGGGATTCTATGAAGCTTAATATATATTTTCTGATAACTCTCTACAAAGCAAAAAACAGCATGAGAATTGAGTTGCATCCCAAACATTGAAGAAAAAACAAGAATTTTATGCTGCTACATTTAGATTCTCTGATAACTCTCTAAATTGCAAAAACTGCATGAGATTTAGTAGCTTCCGAAACATTGAGAGAAAACCAAGAATTCTATGCTGCTGTAAATGCCCTCCATCCCTCAGGTATATTCAAGTAATGAATAGGTGAACCTCTACACGTGTAGTCGTGGGATCAAGTTTTTCTAAAAGGCTAATTACTTCCCATGTGATGCCTAAAGTCTAGCACTTAACATTGAAACTCATACAACAACAAGAACCAGAACCAAAACAAAAACATCGAGTACCCATCCTCGCAACCTTCTAAGAAGATGGTGAACCTCAGCACAAATAGTCACAAATACTCTTAACCCATGGGCAGATATACCTACGTGGCTATGTAGTTATATGGAGTGGCAGAAACTACCCCTAACAACATTTGAGTGAAGTAGAATGGGTAGTCCATTAACAAAAATAGTCCAAATACTTTCCCCTTAAAATAATAGCTCCTCCCATAGTCCCATTAAAAAGCCTATGTGAGGGAACCAAGATTTCTAAATTCTAGTACACGGCTCACGTATTATTGGCTAATTTCATGCAGTGATACCATATTTTGAGTGATTGTCTGGATTGTTTTTAGAGAGAATAATACACTCCATATCCGACACTGTTACAAATGATCTTACTCCCTCCATCTCTTAATTATCTTCTTGAAATTGACAATTTTTAATAAAGTAGTCGTTGTGGTTTGTGTTGAAGAAAGAGATATAATACAAGAAAGTGGAGACAGCCCAAATAGAAAACTACAAAGAATCAAAGATAAATATGGAAGCGCTTCAAAAATCTCAACTTTTGTCCAAAAATCTCATCAATAATCCAAATTCAGCATTACACACTGATAATTTGTTCCAATAAACTTTTTTTCTTCACAATCAACTATCCAATTGTATGCTTCCAGACAGCGTAAATCGCTACTGTTACTGAGAAATCAATTCTTAAAAATGGAAAGTAAATTTCATCCACAACAACTACTACGACTACCACATGCTAGAGATAATTCTTTTGTTGTCGTGGGAAGCAATTTTCAGTTTTGTTAAATTCATCAAACTAAAAGTCAAACAAGGTGCCTATAAACAGACCCTAAATCTATACGAAAACGCATACGTATACCTCTCACGGCGTTGTTCAGGAGTCAGGCCATCATCCTTATTCTTGCTGTTCTTGGATCCATTCCTAGCCTGAGCTCTTTCTCTATCTTTCTCCCTCTGGTTTCCGCGTTCGAATCAGTCAAGGAATACCCAAATACAAACGTTAAATCTCACGAAATCTAGAAACAATCGTCGAAATTACGCCGCAAATGCACGAAATTCGACAATAACAAACACAAATTGAGATTTAAAAAAAATAATTGTGATTGCGGAAAAGGATATGAGTCATTGCCGAGTAACCACGGAGAAAAAGAAAACCCCTGCGAGAAAGAGACGACGGTCTATGGATGAACGAATACGGCTCCAAGTTGAGAAAATTCGCCTACTTCTTTTGCAAAGAATGTATATACGGGCTGAAATACACCTCATATTCTTTTTTTGAGACGGGTTCCTACACCTAACTACGGGTGATGATGGTACGGTATGGGACGGGATTATGCCCGTACCGATACCGTACCATAACTTTCGATTCGGTATGGGACTTCATATTTTACCGATACCGATCCCAAAATGTTGGTACGGTACGGTTCGGGAAAAAATAATGTCGGTACGGGATTTTTTTTCGGGATTTTTTAAACGAGCAAGGTATAATACACAATTGGTTATACAAATAGTAGTAGAAAGATTTGTCTTAAATAGAAAAATTGTAAATGTAAATAACAGCAGTGGTACAAAAGATTAAAAAAGCATTACAAAAGCAATAATAGCATTACAAAAGCAGTAGCTTTAAAAAAGGCAAGCACCCCTTCAATAGTAGCATTACAAAAGCAGTAGCATTACAAAGCAGTAGCTTAAACAAGCAAGGTATAATACACAGAAGGCAGAAGAAACCATCCCTACATGCAGCAGAGTCCTTTATGAAGAAAATAAAAAATGGATCAAAATGGAGTACATCCTAGAGCATAAATTCACAACAAGGATTTGTAAAGGAAAGCCTACTTTTCTCAAAAACAAACTACCAATTACAGATTTACAGTAGCAAAAAAATGGGTGGAAATCATAAATATGGCATAGCCATAATTCTGCCAATTCAAGGCATTCATGACAAATAAGCAATAGCCAGTACAAATTTATAAAGAAAAAATGAAGCAGAGGCTATCTAAAATGGAGCCAGTACAAAATTATAAAGAAAAAATGTAGCCAGTACAAACTTTAAATTTCCAAAAAAAAAATGATCTTCATATTAATAAATTAAAAGAATTTCAGATTTTCACAACAAATTCAAAACAATTAGCAAAAATTTCAATTTTTCACATGACAAATTCATATAACAAATTGTCAAATTCACAACAAAAATGCATAACAAATTCATACCACAAATTTATAAAGATCAAAGATTTTCATATTTACACATAACAAAATGTAAAATTCTTAAAGAAACTTCTGAAATTAGTATTTTTTTACCTCCGTACATGGACACCGGGACCTGGAGGCTAGAGAATTTCCGTCGAGGTGGCGTCTGGCGGGCAGTGGCGTCTCTCTCTCGGTGACTAGCAGGAAGCAGCAGTGGAGCGTGCAGGCGGGCGACGGCGTCTCTCTCTCTGTCGTGCTACTGCTTGCGTTTGAGACTGAGAGTTGGGCACGGAAGTTTTCCGTAGTTCACAAATAGGAGGGCTACTGGAGTACCGGGCTACTGGGCTAGGGAGTTTTGGGCTTTAGACTTCAATATATAAATACATACGGAGTATAATATTTAAAAAATTAGGTCATTCCAAAATTTGGCTGGACCAGTGGGCTGGACTTCAATATATATTAATATATATTTGCTACAGTAGTCGGTACGGGAATTTCGGTTCGGGACAGAGCTAATTCCCATTCCCAAATACCAACCCGAAAAATCGGTTCGGTATGGTTCGGGATTTTTTCGGGATTTTTCGGTTCGGTAAAATTTGGTACGGGTAATCCGGGAATTTTCGGTAACGGTATGGTACATGCTCACCCCTACCCCTAACCCCCATAACCCCCACCCAGCCCGATCCAAACAAGCTCACTCACTCCCTTCAATTGCACACTCATGTTGATTTTGACTTTGGAGTCAAAATTTAACTTCAAAGTCAAAATCAACTTGGGAGATGCAATTGAAGGGGGTGGGAGAATGTCCAGGTCGGGCCGGCGTGTGGGTTTATTGGGAGTTAAGGGACAGAAACCGTCAATTTTGTTAGACAAGTGTGCAACTCTAGAGGGGGGGTGAATAGAGTTGTTTTCAAGAATGTGCGTTTTTTGCGTGTGTGAAATAATAAAATCACAGGAATAAATAAAGAGAGTAAGGGAAAGAAGAACACCGAGATTTATACTGGTTCACCACCTCGTGGCTAGTCCAGTCCTCCGAGAGACTCTCTCGAAAGTCCTACTAATCTTCAAGCTTCAACGGGTGCTTGAAAAACCGGTACAACTTGAGAACTTGAATCACACAAGCCTCACTTTCTTACAACAACAAGACTTGAGTCACACAAGTCTTAAGAACAACACTCAAATNAGGGAAAGAAGAACACCGAGATTTATACTGGTTCACCACCTCGTGGCTAGTCCAGTCCTCCGAGAGACTCTCTCGAAAGTCCTACTAATCTTCAAGCTTCAACGGGTGCTTGAAAAACCGGTACAACTTGAGAACTTGAATCACACAAGCCTCACTTTCTTACAACAACAAGACTTGAGTCACACAAGTCTTAAGAACAACACTCAAATGAGATTGAGTTTACAACACAAAATGAAAGCTCACACAATTGAGCAAAGTAGTGTTGAAGAATTAAAGCTCTATGGATGACAAAATCTTTAGCACTCAATAAAATATGTCTAACTCTCAAAATAATATATTTGATGAGGAAGATGGAAGCAAGAATTGAATATTGATTAATGAAGATATTGGAGTGCAAGAGATGTATTTTTAATGAGGGAGGATGAGTGTTTTTATAGGGGAAAAAGAAATAAATCCGTTGGAAGTAGGGAAGAGGTGATTTTGACAGATTGGAGCGTTGGGGATCGATCCAGGGCAAAAGATCGATCATCTGGAGTAAACTTCCGAAAATAAATTTGTGTCAAACGCACGGAGGATCGATCCAAGGCAGGGGATCGATCCAAGGGGACCAAAAAACCGGAAGTGAGTTTTTGCAACTCTTCGGGGGATCGATCCAGGGAAATGGATCGATCCAAATTCCTGAGCACAGATCGCGGTGATCGATCCTACCAAATGGATCGATCCACTGACGAACAATCCTCAAACATGAGGACCCAAGACATGTGTGCGAGTGGGATGTACAAATTGGAGCTTAATGCTTTGTTTTAGACAACAAATTGAGTGAGATAAGGCTCCCAAAAACAAACAAATCAAATAGGTTGAAGGAATTAATTCAAATTCAAAATTTGAATTAAATATTTGAATTTTGGTGTAGAAATTTGAGTCCCAAAAATATTTTGTGTGTCAAACGATGTACAAGAAAAATTCTTTAAAGTACATTTTTCTTACCACAAAAAAAAAATTTGTGTATCCTTAAATAATATTTAAAAAATTTGACACACTATTTTGAAACTGACTCAAAAGAATATTTTTAGACAGAGAGAAAATAATTTTTCAACTGACTCAAGAAATAATAATTTTTATCCCTCAAAATTAATTTGTTTGTGCAAAAATAATTGTCATCCTTACAAGAATTCCTAGACTCAATAAAAATAAAAAGTCTTCGGAGTCTTCACTTCACTTCAAAAATCTGCGTAGGGGTGAGCGCCCGTAACTTTCTTGATACGTCTCTTTGCTTTTCTCGATATGAAAAATGAATTTTCGATTATCGTTTGAATTTCATCATCCTGTTTGTCATTTATCAAAACAAAAATATTCCAGAAAAATAATAAAGAGATTTGAACTCATGTCCAACAAATTTTACGAATAGGACTTCAGAGCACCCTTGGGCCTCGGGTCATCCCATGACATTGGTTCCTAATGTCATGGGAACCAAGGTGTTCTTTTTTAGATAGAACCATGGAGTCCAATTTGCGTTGACTTTCCCTTTAATCCTACGTTCTTTTATAGATATCTTTGTTAGAATTGTTTTTTACCTTTTATAGTTTTGGTGTTAAACTTGAGGTTAATTGTGTAATTTTACGATGTTGATGTATCTTTCTTGTCATAACCAATGTTAGAAGTTGTTTTTAATGTGTCGTTTGTTAACTTAAGTCGTTGTCTATTGCAACCATAGTCTACATATATCGTGTCTGAACGGAATTCTAATCTACATCATAATCATTATTGGTCTTGTTTGGAAAAAAAGTTTTTTGATTAGTATTAGCGTTTTGGATAACAGTTTAATAGTGTAGATTAATTCTGAAAACGGGAACATCAAAGGCTACCGTCGGATAGCATTTTCAAAACGCTAATCTATAACGTTCATGCCAAATGGGATCATTGTTGTGTTGTCCATCAAGCCGATATCAGAATACGTCACTAGATATATGATCGATATGAAATTATATTTTTATAGCCTTCAATTTAACACATGCGTGAAAGTCAAAAAAGATAGTCCATAGAAAGGTATCCATAAAAGAAAGCCTACAAATATAATATTTAAAAATATATGACAAAATATGAAAAAGCATTGTGTTATAAAAGAATAATTATAAAATTTATTCTAAGAAATCATTTAAAATAGTGAGAAAAATTGAAATTGTTCTAATGTACCAAAAAGTACAAGATTGCTTGATTTTTTTCAATGATCTATGAAAATTTATAAGAATGAAAATTTATAAGAAAAGATGATCTTATGCTAATTCAATAATGCACGATCTCCCTAAAAAATAAATACTAATAAAACCAAATAGATATTTAATTATAGAATTATTAAAATAGTAACACCACTAGTTTTTTTGGTAGCTTTTGGCATAACCATGCATTATATTGTTTACTATCAACTAGCAATTGATTTATTTTATTCATCACAATTTGCAAGTTTGGAGGTTGTTCCTTGGACTTCCTCCTCAACAACATTGTACTCTCGATTTCCTTAAAAAACAAGAATGGATATAAATATAAATTTTGTAAATCATTAGGGATAATTTTGAAACATTTTCTTCATTTAATATATGAAATAACAAAAGGATAAAAAATGAAAAAAACTAATTAAATTAACTTCAAAAGATTTAATAGGAAAACAAGAAAAACAAGATGAATATGTAATTATATTTTAGTGGCGTTTGGTATCAACGTTAGAATTTAGCATTACTGTTTTGAAAAAATCATTCGACGATAGTCTTTAGTGTTAAAATTTTAAAAATATTCTACACCATTAATTTTTTATCCAAAATGCTAACGCTAATCGGAAATGTTGTTCACGAACAAGGCCTTAGCTTAATTGTAATATGGTTATACTTCCTCCGTCTCATACCATCTTTCTCAATTTGACTTTTGTAATCAATATTTTTTAAACATGGTCACAAATTACAAAAGAATACATTAAATTGTTATATAATTTTGATATCAATAGGTTTATTTTGAAACGTAATTTTGAAAATATCATATTTTTATAATTCATATTTATATTTAACTAAAGATATTAAAGGTCAAATATTATATTAAAAATGTTGAAAAGTCAAATGAAAAAATATAAGATGGTAGGAATAGTTGGAATATCATACGTGAATTTTATAATATGTCATTCCCAAACATTTTTTTATATTTTAGCCTCTTTAATCCTAAATATTTATTCTCGATTTAGTCCTCGATAACCGAATTTGAAGGTTGGATATCAATCGAAGAACCTTGTCATCAATCGATCGATCAATCTCTGCATCAATCGATGACATCTTCGTCAAACTCTAGTACATAAATTGATGAGCGTGTGATTAATGCATTTTTAAATCTGATACAGAAGAATCGTGTAACTTTTTTGTAAAAGTCAAGAAGTATTGATGCAATTTTTAAAATTAAGATGAATCTATGCAATTTTTAACAAGGTAAATGACACATAAATTCAAAAAAGTCATGCATGTTATGAAAATAATGATTGTTCATTTATTCAATTAATCATGCCTATTTTCTAGAATAGTAGATTAAGACAACCATTGATGAGTATCAATTATGTACAGTACTTCCCACTTGTATTTGTATTCATACCAAGCCTCTCCACTATAAATAGAGGCTTAATCCCTGCATTGTAATCACAATTAAGAATAAGAGAAGAGTGAAGAGTTAATAGAGAGAAGAAATCAGAAATATATTATATCTATTATCTTAATCTCTGAGTAGTTTTTCTCTCATTTTATAACACGTTATCAGCACGAATTTGCTCAAAATCCCAGAATCCTTGTTCTTCTCAGAAGGTATATTTATTTTAATTTTCTTCATAAACAAACTAAAATATTTTTTAAAAACTATGAGAAGTATGCTCTGTGATTGCCCAAAGTAGGGATCCTTCACATCAGAAACTTATAGTTATAAAATAAAAATTAGATAATTAAAAGGAATAAGTTTCCTCATAAAAAAAACATTTTTTATAAACTAAAAGCAAAGAGTAGATTTAATACGGAGTAGTTAATATTGAAAAAAAAATTAAAATAAAAACCAATTTTTGAAAAAAAAAATCATTGAAATCAATGAACTTACCTTCAATTCCTTCTCTTCTTGAATTCTTCTTTAACACATCCTTGATAGAAATAGATAATCTCACTTTGTAATATTATTTCTATCCTTTATT